TTGGATTGTAAGGCTAAAAATCAAGCATTTTACAGACAATATTAGGAGGGGGAGAATCACAAATGAGCATGCAGCACACACACACACACACACACAGCACACACGGCCAAAAATTATATTCTGGGAAATCATATTCGAAGGCCAAATGAGAAACTACGAACATGGCTTTAAGGCTGCCTATGTCAGGCGGTTAGTGATTACTGTGGTCTTATTAGCTATTAAATCGTGAATCATAGGGGCCTAAATCATTAAATTCATGGTAGTGGATTTCTTATGCGTGTTAATTAGATTTCATAATATTGGTCGACGATCGCATGCAACAGATCATCATTAAAAGCTGCTAAATGTCATCGAACCTATCAATGTTTTTTGATAGTGTGAAATGATACTGATAATGTAAGCGTTTATGTCGTTTCACGCAGCGCAGTGGGAATTGACAAGCAAATGAAAAATGCCCTGTGGTAATGTCCAATGACCCCGACACGGAGGCGGGCGTGCCGTTTGTCATCGGTTACATGGTTTGACACGTGAAGCGAAAGACTGGTAATTGTGGACATTTTACATCACTCAAATTCCATCCATTTGCCATCCATATTCTCCTGAAAGTAAAAGTGCCAAATTATCACGTATATGCTTCCTCAAATAAAGACACAAATCGTGCCCACAAGAAGTGTTGATGAAGGAAATATTGTTGCATGCTTTACCAATGGTGCACTCACCCCGGGGGTGTGTTCGTAATACTCACCCCGGGGGTGTGTTCGTAGTAGGGCTGGTCCGTGTGTGCGGCGCCAGAGTCTCGTTGTGTAGGCCAGGTTGTTGGCGTCCACCTTGTTGGGACTTTGAACGTTGTCCTGCGAGGTAAAAAGAGCTCAGCTGTAAACTCTCAAAAACAACTATTTTCCCATACCCAAAAATTGGGCACGTCGCCTGTATTATTTATAAAAGGAGCACGAATGCAGTACTCCCCTGAAGCCGATTTAAATCACTTGAATATATAGAATAGTGTGGCAGCGGGGATCCACCAACAATGGCACGGCTGTGGTAGCAAGTGCAGAAATTGAACAGGCCACCAGGTGCCGTATTATACACATCTGCTACAAAATGGCAAGGGGCAACGCAATGAACAGGTAGTGTGGTCGCTCATGCGCTTCTGAAGGTGAAAAATTTTACGGATCAAGCTGACAGCTTTTTGCAAGTACTGAAGAATGCTACCAACCTGGGTTATAACAAAGCCGCTGGCTGGAGAGTTATACGATGTGATCAATTACTTGTGGAGGTTAAACACGACCAAGCCATACATTCCCTTCATTTGACAACTTGTGTCAAGATCTCGAAAAAATCAAGGAGCACTTAACAGCTAAAAAAATCACATCTGGCTTAGAAAGTCGAAAAGCCATCAAAGGAAGTTTCAGATGATGACAACAAATTGCACATTGGTACAACGGCACGCGCACCCAGTTGCAACGCTGCCTTAACTAGCGGTCAGATCATCGCGCCGGAACAGTTCAAAAGACAATGAATATTCCTGGTAAGTGTCACCCCCCGACGGTGAGGTCAACATCCGTAACGTGACTGATGGCGTTACGAGCGACATAAAACGTCTTAAAAGGCACCGTTACAACGGAATAACTTCAGTGTCCTCCAGCACCCGCCATAATCGCGTGCGTGCCTCGTGTCTCGCCT